ATCAAAAAGTAACGAGTTATTTTTAACAGTAGTTCTTATTAACCCACCTTGTATATATTCTTCATGATAATTATACAAACAGTGGAAATACCTCTGGTGATTCTTCATCAAGATGGCGGAGAAAGTAGTCGTGGAAGTCCTGTGAGAATGTTAAAATGCCTACATAGATTGTCGTTTCTTTGTCCTTCGTTCCCAATTTGGACGACAGGAATTTGTTTAATAGATCTGATTTAGACAAGTACGGTGGATAATTGAACTGTGAGAGATACCTTTTACAGATAAAAATGTTGTGTAAACTCATAACTCAAGTTTCTCAACCGTTATCCTTTCCGCCATCTTGAAGAAGAATTACCAGAGCCATTTCCAAACTTTCTATAATTATTGTGAACAGTAGTAATATCTATTAAAAAGAATGTTATTTTTAATATTTAATACTAAAGATCATCGTTATTTTACGGGAAAATTACTGTTTTAAATTCAGTTTTAAGAAACATTTCGGATAAACTCGCATGATTATAGTAAACGAACGTTTAATAGTTTTACTAGAATTTCGCGAGCCTTTTCCTTTTATTCAAACGTCTAATAGAATCATCAGCAGAGTAAACAAACTTTCGTTTCATTACAGTTTCTGGAATTAATCCATAAAACGTTTGTATTTACATAATCATTCGCAGTCTGGTGATCGGCGTATAACTTTCGGATCTATTAACTCACAGATCTTCGTTAGAGGTATAACGGCGAGTGATCGTTGAGTGACCCATGAAAATTCACCAGTCCTTTATCGGCGCAGCTTGCAATAACCGCGAATCTAAGAGAAACTTTTCTCGATTAAAGGTTAAAATATTCTTCTCATCACGTTTTATGCGTCTATTCATGGACACTATGGGATGCATAATCAAGGAGACAGTCGAATATATTTCTTAATCGTAAGAAATCGTTCTAGGGTTTAATTCTTTCCTTCCGACTGTAGCTATATGGCTATTGTTCCTGATAAGTTCGCGATTAGCCACTGCTCTTTGGTAAATTAAGTGACTAATGAACTGTCTGTCTCTGATTTTTATGAAACTTGGTGAATATATTAAACTGGCGTATTATATGATAATTTACAAAACTGTAAGAGGCAAATCTGTCATTATATATATATTAATGGATTCAGAAAAAAAATTCGGTTCTTGTTTGTCATTATGTAAATTTTGGTATCTCTTAAAATACTGTAACAATAAATGTTTTTGTTATAAACAAATTACTTTTTACAAAATCTGTGACCACTTTTTGTTTTACCTCAAGAAACCATGAAACTTTTCCCTAAAAAGTTTTCTTATATCTGTGATAGTTTTCGAGATACATACCATTTTTCTGCTGAAACTTGAAGGGGTGATTACACCCCGTAAACTTGCGATTGGGCAGCTATAAAAAATTACGTGCCCCTTATTTTCATCCGCTTAATATATTGACCAAGTTTCATAAAAATCGGAGATGGATAGTTCGGTATATTCCCTTCTTGGTAACACACTTAGATTTTAATATAAACTTAACAATGTGATGTATGTGTATGTGTATACTGTTCTGACTGGTCGACGTGTTCTTGTTGACGTTTGAATGTGTTCTCGAGAATAAGTGAATGTATAGATGCTTGCTGGAACGGATTGACTCGTGATTGGTGGAAAATGCAGAATTTTAGTTGGTGCAGGTGTTTGAAGAAGTGGTAATATGAGTTGGAAGAAGTGGGGTTTGGTGTATGTATTGTTTCTTAGATTCCTGGAAGTCAGCGCCGAAATATAAGGAACGGTCTGAAGGATGTGATGTGCAGCTGTCCAGGAATTCCTGTTTATGACGGTTTGGTGACCGTGTCGACGGCCCAAGACGCGACGAGCGTTACAACCATTGCCCAGAGATGGGCATAATTTCATTCGAATAATGCATAGTGAGAAGCAGCAATATCTAAGATCTTCATCCTGACCTTTAAACAGTTTATGAGATTAAATAATAATTATTGAGATGAGATGATGAGATAAAAAAATATTTCGTCATTTTTACTTGATTGAACGTGGTAATTCCAATTTTTATCATAAAATAATATTTCTTCTTGAATGAGTAGACACTTTGCAAACAATTGGACCGTTTATTTTGAAAGTGGTGTAAGTCCTTTTTTAAAAAAAATGAGATATGACGTAATTTATGCTTAATTTAGTGTAAACTAAAATAAAATGAAATGGAATTGGAAAATGGACTTGCACCACTTTCAAAATAAACGGTCCAATTGTTTGCAAAGTGTCTACTCATTCAAGAAGAAATATTATTTTATGATAAAAATTGGAATTATCACGTTCAATCAAGTAAAAATGACGAAATATTTTTTTATCTCATCATCTCATCTCAATAATTATTATTTAATCTCATAAACTGTTTAAAGGTCAGGATGAAGATCTTAGATATTGCTGCTTCTCACTATGCATTATTCGAATGAAATTATGCCCATCTCTGGGCAATGGTTGTAACGCTCGTCGCGTCTTGGGCCGTCGACACGGTCACCAAACCGTCATAAACAGGAATTCCTGGACAGCTGCACATCACATCCTTCAGACCGTTCCTTATATTTCGGCGCTGACTTCCAGGAATCTAAGAAACAATACATACACCAAACCCCACTTCTTCCAACTCATATTACCACTTCTTCAAACACCTGCACCAACTAAAATTCTGCATTTTCCACCAATCACGAGTCAATCCGTTCCAGCAAGCATCTATACATTCACTTATTCTCGAGAACACATTCAAACGTCAACAAGAACACGTCGACCAGTCAGAACAGTATACACATACACATACATCACATTGTTAAGTTTATATTAAAATCTAAGTGTGTTACCAAGAAGGGAATATACCGAACTATCCATCTCCGATTTTTATGAAACTTGGTCAATATATTAAGCGGATGAAAATAAGGGGCACGTAATTTTTTATAGCTGCCCAATCGCAAGTTTACGGGGTGTAATCACCCCTTCAAGTTTCAGCAGAAAAATGGTATGTATCTCGAAAACTATCACAGATATAAGAAAACTTTTTAGGGAAAAGTTTCATGGTTTCTTGAGGTAAAACAAAAAGTGGTCACAGATTTTGTAAAAAGTAATTTGTTTATAACAAAAACATTTATTGTTACAGTATTTTAAGAGATACCAAAATTTACATAATGACAAACAAGAACCGAATTTTTTTTCTGAATCCATTAATATATATATAATGACAGATTTGCCTCTTACAGTTTTGTAAATTATCATATAATACGCCAGTTTAATATATTCACCAAGTTTCATAAAAATCAGAGACAGACAGTTCATTAGTCACTTAATTTACCAAAGAGCAGTGGCTAATCGCGAACTTATCAGGAACAATAGCCATATAGCTACAGTCGGAAGGAAAGAATTAAACCCTAGAACGATTTCTTACGATTAAGAAATATATTCGACTGTCTCCTTGATTATGCATCCCATAGTGTCCATGAATAGACGCATAAAACGTGATGAGAAGAATATTTTAACCTTTAATCGAGAAAAGTTTCTCTTAGATTCGCGGTTATTGCAAGCTGCGCCGATAAAGGACTGGTGAATTTTCATGGGTCACTCAACGATCACTCGCCGTTATACCTCTAACGAAGATCTGTGAGTTAATAGATCCGAAAGTTATACGCCGATCACCAGACTGCGAATGATTATGTAAATACAAACGTTTTATGGATTAATTCCAGAAACTGTAATGAAACGAAAGTTTGTTTACTCTGCTGATGATTCTATTAGACGTTTGAATAAAAGGAAAAGGCTCGCGAAATTCTAGTAAAACTATTAAACGTTCGTTTACTATAATCATGCGAGTTTATCCGAAATGTTTCTTAAAACTGAATTTAAAACAGTAATTTTCCCGTAAAATAACGATGATCTTTAGTATTAAATATTAAAAATAACATTCTTTTTAATAGATATTACTACTGTTCACAATAATTATAGAAAGTTTGGAAATGGCTCTGGTAATTCTTCTTCAAGATGGCGGAAAGGATAACGGTTGAGAAACTTGAGTTATGAGTTTACACAACATTTTTATCTGTAAAAGGTATCTCTCACAGTTCAATTATCCACCGTACTTGTCTAAATCAGATCTATTAAACAAATTCCTGTCGTCCAAATTGGGAACGAAGGACAAAGAAACGACAATCTATGTAGGCATTTTAACATTCTCACAGGACTTCCACGACTACTTTCTCCGCCATCTTGATGAAGAATCACCAGAGGTATTTCCACTGTTTGTATAATTATCATGAAGAATATATACAAGGTGGGTTAATAAGAACTACTGTTAAAAATAACTCGTTACTTTTTGATTGTGTCAGAAAACGTTTTATTAAATTATGTAGAATGTAAAGCATTTTAAAGGATGCACCTGATGGACGCAATTTGCATTTTTTTCAAGGTGAATACATTTTTCTTTAATACCACGTTGTTGCCAATAGGAGAACAAATTCAACGACCTATTGCATGATAGTATTAAAAAAAAGATGCATTGATCTTGAAAAAATTCAAGGTCACCGTGATATCTAAAAAAAATAAGATAAACAAATCAAATCGTATCCATCTGGTGTATCCCTTAAAAAGGTAGATTCTGGTAGATATTTGATTTTTTTATACAGCCAGTAGTTAACGACTTATTTTAGGTAGTAGTTTTTCTTGACTCACCCTGTATTATATCACTTCAGAAAGAAACTACTTTCAATAATTGCTGATCCCAGTGTATAATATTGTGTGACTGAATTATAAACTCGATTCTCGAAAAGTATGCCGTTGAATTCCCAGACAATTTTATTTTCAATGCAAGGAACAGTCTCCAGGCTTTTCAATTAAAATTTTCTTCTTCGTTCTGTCGGCGAGTGTACACATACGAGAAGGGGAGAACTCGTGTGGTTTCCTTCCTTTTTTTCTTTCTTTTTGTTCACAACAAAATCACCATTTCAGCTGGGCAGTTTCCACGATTATGACGAGGCAGAACCTAATCCCCAGCGAGGACGGCTCACGAATGATCCACGCTTTGATCCCGATGTGGGACATGTGCAACCACGAGAACGGGAGAGTGAGTTTCCACGTCTGCCGATCTTAAAGGCCCGTTTACACGTTCAAAAATAATTTCCGCGAAACTGACTCTTGTGCACGCAAATTTTGCGCAAATGAACCGAGCCGTTATATTTCTATTTGAGGCTCGTTTAATCAAATTTCAATATTTCGAAAATAATTTCCGCAAACTGACTTGTGCAATACACGTTTAGAACGTTGCACAGTTATTTTACGTACATATAAAGAATAAACTATAATTGATTAGGGTGGATGCACCTGTGAACATTATATATAAAAACAAGTAAATGATGTCATTAAAGTGAGAAAACGATTAAATATTGATTTCTTAATTTGATACTATAAATATCTACCATTAGATTTTGAAGCTGCATCTACACTATGTAACAAAAGAATGTTATATAACAAATTGTTCCACAACTTTGCTATATATACAACATGGTTTTAGAACTTGTTACAAAATTATACCTTTTGGACAAGTCCGTAACAAGTTTGTATAACATTTCCAATCTCATTGTTAATAATGGCGTCACATTTAATGGATAACATGTAACTTGCTATATAACACGAAAAATGGTATGTAACATCATATTATATAACATTTTTATTTCTGTTCTTCTAACAAGTTTTATAACTTTGCTATATAATTTGTTATACTATGTAGTGTAGACGCAGCTTTATACACATGAAATATCTTCAGAAATAACTTCCCTAATTGTATATTTTCCAACCTAGGAAAATAGTAAAGGAAATACAGTATAGGTATATATATAGCTGCTTCAACGATATAGCGTTAGCCATAAACGTGGCTGATCCTTAAACCATTAGTACCTGATCATCGGGGGCCCATTTTGTCCCACCGCAGTCAGGGTCGTACGCCACTTTCAGCTATGGAGTTCCAAGGAATAAAACGAAAAAGAGTATGATAGTTGAAAAAAATTCACGTTTTCGTAATTTTTCATCAAAAATAAAAAGGCCGCAAGTTTTAAATCTGAAATTAGTACGCTATAAGAACTTGTGTAATTATATTACCACGGAGTAACCGATCCCAAATTGGCGCACTTATAAAGTGCTTTAAGGTTATTTTTACAGCCTGATTGACTGCACATGGCATGAAAATTGTTTCAATATGAAACAAGGAATGGAAAAAAATCAGTATTTAAACATTTGCTTACTTTAATAACTTAATTTATTCGTTTTTCTATATAATGTTCATTCACTGGTACGTGTTCATATACCAGTGCACTCACCCTACATTGTTTCCGTTTTACTTCAGTCAAATCTACTATCCTTATTACGTTAATTCGTAATAGGGAATCGCGGAATTTCAGTGTCTATAACAATGGTAGCAAAGATCTACAACCTCCGTTGAGTACACAGTCTCGCCGTGAGTTCGCGCGAAAACACATATTTCGTATTCGAACAGATTTCGCGCCATCGGTTAAAAATATTCGTTTACAGGTTAACGTTCATTCACTGGTGAAATCGATTTTTTCCTTTTTTCTTTTCATTAATTACATTTTTCCAATTTTTCAAATTGAAATCTATGTGTTGTAAAAAAGGATAGATATTAAAGATCTGATTTTCATATAGAATATTTATCAATATTATTATCATGTAAAATTCGACTTTAATAATTACGAAATTTCTTTAGTGTTCATTCATTGATGTGTTTACCCTATTACAAATTATACAAAAAAGTTTATTATTTAACATTAACTGCAACGATTTGTTCGCGAAAATGCGAACGCACAAGTAAGTTGAGCGCGAATTATTCGAACGTGTAAACGGGCCTTAACACGCCGGGCTGTACGTGATATACAACGCGTGTATAATTTAAATAATTTTTGTTCTGCGTATTTTACACAGATCACCACCGATTTCAACGCGACGTTCGACTGCTGCGAATGTTACGCGCTGCGGAACTTCAAGAAAGGCGACCAAATATTCATTAGCTACGGGCCACGAACGAACTCGGACTTTTTTGTACACTCGGGATTCGTTTACATGGACAACAAAGAAGTAATTCCTTCCCCATCTAAGAACGAAACTAGAAAACGAGTCTTCGGAAAGAAATTTAGAAATTTCATATCGTCGCAACTAGCGGTCCGTTAAGGTGGCTCACGAAAATTTTTAATAATTGTAAATTTAGTTGAAAACTTAACTGAACATTCTTAGAAGCTTCAACTTTAGATTGCTACCAAAAAATCGTAAGATCAACGATTAAATTACTGAAAAAGAAACGTTATAAAAATGTCTTTTTAAGACGAGCCTTATGGAACTGTAGTTGATACTGAGAAGTTAATCAGGCCTTATTTAGTTACAAAAAATGACATTTTCATAAAAAATTAGGTGATTAGAAATTTTTTTACGAAAATAAAACCAGAAATTAAAATCAAAGTATGCAAACTTAGGTTTCAATACGTTTGGTAGTATCTTCTACGTATGTCTGCTATGAGCGCTAACGTCACTTCTTTTCCTTTGGTTTGTCCGACGAATTTTCCCATTTTTTCTTAAAAATTAAAAAAAAAAACATTAAATTTGTTTTACATTAAGGAACAACATTTGTTTTCCATTTCAGTATTTTGAAGTAGTTCAAAATATTAATCATTCAAATTAAATTAGTGAAATTGGGGCTATATGGAGCCCCAACTAGATACGCCACTAAAATTGTGAGCTACCTTAAGGGGACCACGAGAGCATGTTCGAAACGAATAGATTCGCAGTTTTTTATCTCGGCAATTTTACACAGGACGTTTCAAGCTTTTTGTTTTTTTACGGAGAATATAACTAAAATGTTGATCGAGAAATTTGAATCGTCGAGGTATTAAATATTTTCACGAAAGAACAACATTGAGTTTTCGATCGTAGCGTCGAAAACCGTCGCCATATTGACGGCAAACAAATAATTTCGTCGTTTAAGTGAAATTTGAGAAATTGCTAGACATTACACCCTTCGTTCTTAAGAAAAATATATTCTCCACGATAAACAAACTCTTATCCACAAAAGGTCGGAAAACATTGCAATAGAAACTCGTTCAATTGAAGATAATTCTGTACGAGGATAGCCGCCATCTCTAAACGCCGTTTCAAACGGAAAATCACAACTTCTTCCGTACAATTTATTAACGAATTCATACTTTACCTAATTATTATTTATTAAAGTGAATACGTGTATTACTCCTAGTCAAAAAGTGTCTAACCACTTTCCGATTCTGAATGAAATTCTATTGCACGACAATTCTCAAAATAATTTGAACTTTGACCAGCAGTATCTAACAGTCTTGACTAAAAGTAGGCACCCCATAAAATATGAATTTCTAACAAATACTTTTGTATTAGAAAGAAATCAAAGTAGTGAAATTTGAAAAAAAAAAACATTTTTTATTAATTTTGTTGAGATTTCGTTGGGCCAGCTTTTGCTCTAATGACTGATAATCATAGCAATTTCTTTCTGACTTTTACCCTGTTCCTTTAAATGAAGATCACTTAGTTCACATTTTCTTGACATAGTTCAAGAAAAAGTTTCTAAATTTCAAAATATTAGTAGCAAAACTAAAAACAAGTTTGATGTGTGTGCTAGAAACGAGTACTGACAGCAGACTGTATAACTTTTAGGAAGAAACACAAAATGTAGACCATGGACCCGTTCAGTTGCTTTATAGCCCCCTATAAATAACCTTGTCAGCTGTTTTAAAATTCCTTTGAACTGCCCGACAAAGGACGGCAAACAGTAGGAAATGTTTCAAAGAAATAATTTTCTCCAGCAAGCTATAAATAATTAAAGTGCTTAATACTTTTGGCCAAACCTGTATCATACAGGGTGTTCCACCTAACACGAGCACCTCTAGTATCTCACTTGCTTTTAATTCGTAGAAAATTAATTTTAATAAATGCTGAAAGTGATGACCATCAAGAGTTCAATACATTTTTGCACTAATCCCTCTAATGTAGTTATTTTATTATTTAAATCGATTCTCATACATTTGTGGATTTTTTGTACTCAAGGTCACATGGAGGTCACACTATTATAGGTCAATGGATTGGACTTGATCTCAACTATTACGCCACGCTTGAAATTTCGAAAAATATGATCTTAAGAAAAATTTTTGCTTATAGTATTTGCTCCGTCTAACCAAATAATACTTTCCCCTTACATTTTTTTCTATCTTCAAAAAAATGTGAGATATCAAAGGTACTCTCGTCAGGTGAGACACCCTGTATATTATTGTGTATCATTCTTATTAAACGAAACACTTGTTTTCAGGACGGTTTCAAGCTACGTCTCGGAATCAGTAAAGCCGACTCGCTGCAAAAGGAACGTATCGAGTTACTGAACAAACTGGACCTACCCTCGGTGGGCGAGTTTCTGTTGAAGCCGGGAACAGAACCGATCTCCGACTTGCTGCTCGCGTTCCTGAGGGTGTTCAGTATGCGTAAACAGGAACTGACGCATTGGCTACGCTCGGACCGTGTGAACGATCTGAAGCACATGGATTGCGCTTTGGAGACCGTCGTCGAGGAGAACGTCAGGAAATTTCTGCTTACTAGGCTGCAGCTCTTAATTGCTAACTACCCAACGACTCTGAAGGTGAAAGTGAAACGAGAAAAAATATCTTCAGGGTATCCCAAAGTAGGTGTAAGTCCTGAACGGGATGATTCCTGGTGTGATTTGAAACAACTTTTTCCTTAGCGAAAAAGTTCTCCGAGGCTTTGTTGACGAGATATTAACAAAAAACCTCGACCAATCAGAGCGCGAGCTCGTGGGCTGAGCTCGCGCGGTAGCGCGTAGTCAACGTTATCGTAGAAGCTCAGCCAGTAGACTCGCGCTCTGATTGGTCGGGGTTTCTCATTAACAAAACCTCGGAGAACTTTTTCGCTACGGAAAAAGTTGTTTCAAATCACCCCAGGAATCACTCCTTTCAATGACTTACAACTATTTTGGGACACCCTGTATACACAGAGGTTGTACCAAAAAAATGGGACAAGCTGTAACATGCATATTCCTCGTATGAATACAAATCGAAAAGTCCTTTACCATTTTGTAATTCGAAACTCCATTTCCGAGATATTAACAGTTGAACGAACTCCAATCAGCTGAGCGGTGGGCCACACATCAGCTGAGTCGTGCGCTTCTAGTCTACGCGTACGTGTAGCCGACCGCTCAGCTGATTGGAGTTTCGTTCAACTGCGAATATATCGGAAATGGAGCTTCAGACTACAAAATGGTAAAGGATTTTTCGATTTGTATTTGCATAAGGAATATACGTGTTGCGGCTTGTGCCATCATTTCGAGACACTCTGTATATACCGTCTGTAACGCATTCAGACCAACGCCCTGCCATCAGCGGGATCAAAATCGCGATCCTTAAAGCCGTTATTACAAGAAACCGTGTTTTTTCTGTTTCGCAGGAGGATCTGCAGTTGCTCGAGACATCGTTGCCGCAGATCAAGAAATTAGCCATTCAGCTGAGAGTAACGGAAAAGAAAATTCTTTTGGCCGCCCTCGAATACGTGGAACAGTGGATCAAGGCTTGAATAAACAAACATGGAAAATGGATTTCTGTTAAGATTCGAAAGAAAGTCTCTTCTTTTTTTTTTCTTAGCACTAAAAACGGCCTTGTAACGTGTGTGCTGTTTTGGCATCGGACTTACTAATTAAACTGATATTTTGCTTCTTGACTTTTATTAGTTAAGAAGCAAACAGGCCTTTCGTCTCTCTGATCGTGTCGTGAAGGGTACGTCTTGTATTTATTCGTGCGCGCTAATAGCTGCGGGTCAGCGCTCCTACTTAACCCTTTCCTGAACTTGCGATCGCCGAGTAAAAGATTCGATCTATGTTTGCGGTTTCGAGGCTTCCCGTTTCGTGGCGCTGCTCGCACTCCCTGCAGCGTGAACTCTTGACATGGTTACCGACGAGGTATAAGAATAGTCTTTTCATCTTCTGGGAATTGGTGGCCCATCTAAAATCTAGTACCGACACCTTAAAAAGCCTGTGATTAGAATGACCTCTACCACGGACGAGGTATAGAAGTAGACATTTCATCCAATGTATTTTTTCGGCCCACTTTTTTGGGGCGACGTCGCCCCATTTCCATTTAAGTGTCACTACCCACCGCAGATTCACTATTCTCATAACGTAGAGGTCGCTCAGATCACAGGTTTAAGGTGTCGATACTACAGTTTAGATGAGCCACCAGCTCTCATAAGATGACAAGTCTATTCTTATACCTCGACTGTGTTTATACTAAGGACATTGAATTCATCACTCGAAGTTTTGGAATCGCTTTAGTTGTTGGTGTAGCATTAACTTGTATGACCTCGATCGTGTCAAGTTCACGCAACGCGTAGAAGTAGTACCGGATAAGGAAATGCAGTTTATACGTAAAACGATACGGAGGAACAAGCGGCAAACGGTAAAGGGAGCAACACAGTGTACACCGAAGTGTACGAAAACGTTCAACTAAACTATATTATATGTACGCGTATTAACAAACCACACAGTGCAATGTCAAGTAATTGCGTGTTCCAAAATATATTCACTCTTGTTGTCCAGTAGCGAGAACTTACGAGGAAAATGCGTATATATACATATATATGTATACATGCTGTTTTTATCTTCCACATTGACGTTTCTGGTCAACCTTGGAATTGTGCGCTGTTCAAGTTATCCCGACAGACACGACGTAACTTTCATTTCAGCTTTGATAAAAAACTGGAGGAAAAAAAGAAAAAATAGAGAAAAAAAATAAGAAAATGTACAAACGAAATGTTACTACTCATGAGTATTTATTTTTCAAAGAGGATATAGTTAAGAGATCTAATTCTTTAATGTAAGCTATCGTACGGTATTACACAGGCCTACGAAGATCACGCGAATAACTTACGAACAATTGTATATCGTAAAATTTACCGATGTATTTATCGTATTGTACCAGTACGCATAAAAAACAAGTAAGACAAGCAGCGAGCTCCAGATATTTGCCAGCCATTCGAACTTGTATCATGATTGAAAATTGTAACTGTACGAAAGTTTTATAAATTGATTCAGAGGTGTATAACAAAGGCTAATTGATAGTCCGTGGACGCTTATGCAAATATAGATTATTTTGGCTTGTTCTGTGAAAACCGAAATTTATCCCTTCTATTAAAGTCTTTGGAACGTTAAAATAAACATTTTGTCAAATCTTCCAGATCTTTATTTTCTTGTACTTTGCACGTCATAAATGCATAAAATCCGCAGTCTAATAATTAGGTCGAATAAGAAATTAGACAATGCTACAGCAGGACTGATAGCTCTGTATTGCTTCACTCGATGCATTTAGGGGCAGACATGATACAGCCAAATATGCAAATGTTACGTTTAACTTAACAATTACATTTTCCTCTAATACAAAAACACACAGAAAATGTACGACACAGTGGTTACATTACTTTCGAGAAATCGCTCGAAAATTACCTTGCTATATCTGATCAAAAACGTTCTATGCGCGGAGCAATCGCATGAGATTCCTTGGTTATATCACTAAAGTAATATTACATCTGTGACGATATTCGATATCTGGTTAAACGAGCGCCATTCTGCACCTTACACAACTGCCTAAAAAAATATACAAGTATACTTTCCTCCCTGTGTCAAGTGAGGTGAAACTGTGATACAGTTTATTTAAAGAACTTTTTGATCAGATACTATCGAGTACATGCTCTTATCAATAATTTATAAGTTGTTTGTCGCCAGTCATGTTCAATTGTACTTAATATATACTACACGGTGACTGATCCTCACTAACGGCACGTTTTATTGTTACAAGTGATTTTTAAGTATTAATTTCAGATCATTTTACATGTAATTCGTGTTCAGTTTTCTTCTACTTGAAACTTCATAGAGCATCTTGAAATTCAATTTTAATTTTGGACATATTTATATTACTGTTTCTGTTAGTGTAATGTGCGGTTTGCTCTTTTAGTTGACGAAGCAAGGTGTCACTAATTGAATCGTCCCCTTTTATTTCATCGTTACATCCATCTTCGTTCTGGGCACCTTGCCTCACGTTTTGAACGTCGTGATCTTCTCCAAGATGCGAGACAAGAGAAGGTAAGGCATAAAATATTTTGTCACAAAGATTGCACTGGAATGTCTTTCCATCCGCTGTCTGGAGGCAGTGGAGATAATCACTTCTACTACTGAAAGTTTGTCTATGTAATGCCAAGTGCTTCTCATGATCTATTGCAAGAATGAACTCATAAGAACAGATCGGACACTTCAAATTGTGCTTCGTCCACATCGTGTGCGTCTTTAATCGGTGTAAACTATCATAGACTTTCCCGCACACTGCACACTTCATGCATTTGTGACTTTTTAGCGTTTCTCTGCTCTCGTACAGTCCACTGCATTCCTTACATTGGTATGTTCGTTCCCTTCTACAAGCATGTTTGAGCCAATGCTTTTCTAATTGTGGCAACAGATCAAATACCAGCTTGCACACTGAACACACAAATCGTCCTTGATGATCCCTTTTCATAGTGAAGGTGGATTCACGTATGTCCCAATGTTTCTCGAAATTGTTTTTACGCGATAAATTTTCATTACAAAATTCACATTGATTTTGGTGTTTGGATAAGTGAGCAAATAACATTCCAGGTTCAGTGTTTGTGTAATTGCAAAAGGAACATACAAAAGTGTCATCTTCCTCATACGCGTGTGTATACAAGTGTTTCTCAAATGTATTTGATGTAAAAAATATTGCACCGCATGCTGGACATTTTAGGTATGGTTTACCATCTTCTGCGTAGTACAAAGGCATGGGCTTAACATTTTGTACCCGGACAACATTATCCTTGGAATCGATATCATCATCCATACAAGGTTCTCCATAATCGATTTCTTCCATGGATGATATATGATCATCCATTTCAGTAGAAATGATCGAATTCTCTTCCTCTTTTATTTCAACTATTGGCTCATGCTTAGGTAGGAGCTTTCTTAGTAATAACACTTTGTTATGTCGTTTGGAACGATGGTGGGACTTAGATTTCTTATTAGACAGAGAATGTTTGCTGGACAATTTCTTGGTCATGAGGGCATTGTCCGATTGTAATTGAGTTATTAGAAAAAATTCTTTAGCATTCGGTACAGAATTAATACACGAAAGAGGCGATTCCATTTTTAGATTGTCCCAATCGCTGATGGTAGATTCATTGGTAAGTTCAGAGTCATTCTCAATGGAAAGAAGCTCAGAGGACTCATCATTTTCCTGAGATTCCATATCGTCATCGTTTTCTGTAGATAAAAGCGCTGCGTTGAGTATTTGTTCAGTGGCTATCTGATATTTGCTTTTATCGTAGTTCTCCCTGCCGCCTGTGCCCTCACTCGTCTCTTCATCTACCATCGCTTCTTTCGAAAAGTCTTTGCGTTCCACGTCTTCTAACGTTAACATTCTAGGTCCGCAGAATTACTATGACCTGTCCAAGTGATTACTGTAATACAGAAGACAGAAACGTTACGACAATCCAGAATGTTTACATGGTAAACGCTTAAGAGTGTAACATAACCTTGTTATCGCTTATTCGCCGCACAATCTTTCGGAACATTGAATCGTAAACAGACGTCAATTACATGAAATTGTCAATGATGGATTCCTGTGATCAGACAAATGAATCGTACTCACATGGTGATACTTAATTCAACTCCTCCTTGAGATGTTCTTTTCGGAGCATACATTGATTTGTATCTGCGTGGAGTTCTTCAGACGCATCGGTAGAGATGAAGAGAAAAAAAACGTATATACGCACAGACAATGATCATTCAACGTCTTAAATCACGCGCAAGATTCATCATCCCCGGAATCCTCATTATTATTTACACACGAATAAGTTTGATCAGCTGTTTTCGGATTACACAAAATTGACAGGATGTTTCTGTTGCGTCCAACCGATGACATGTCTTCGGTGACACAAGAAGTATCTCTCAACTTGGTCGTTCCAAATTCCTTTGATGTATTTGTGTACGTTGTACAAAACTAAAGCAACAATTTACAATTCTTTCGGAATCAATTTATAAACTAATATTCATTCAAGTATATGTAACTCGGTACTCTTTGAGATTGTACATACTGAGTTACACGATGTGAAAGGTCCATTACTTTTATAAGAGTTTGATGTAAGGTTGGGAATCACTTTTACAGGGAACAGGGCGTACATATAACTATATGCACATATTGCACACATCATAGGGTTCTAAGTAACAATTTATTAGTTAACAGTAGATAAAAAAAAATATCTGCACACACGAATTTGTTAAAATTACATAGTTCAATAGGTTTCTAGATTATAAGTATCAAAACTTGCATTAGTTTTGTAATAAGTTTTCGGATATTTTTCATAACTGTACATTGTTCATTCCTTGTAATGTATGGGTCTATTACAAAGAACTTGTGTGTGTAAATATTTATTATTGTTATTATTTTCTGTCCCAAGTTTCGAGGGCGTCAGAAGCGCTCTTACCATTTTAGTGTCGATACCCGACGTTACCGATAAAGCATGAATTCTGAGTATTATTAGCACAAATGAAGTGTTATATATTCCATTCATATTGCGTGTATCTATATGATTGGCCGGGAATAAAAATATCCAATGCTCCAGTTTAAGGTTAAGGGATAAATATGACAGTCATGAAACATGAAACTGAAAAGTATATATTTTTTCACTTAACTACAAGACAATTTATTCTAAATCCATCGTTAATGGACATTTTATTAATGTTACTTTTTACATGTTCTTGTTTTATTCGTTTTTATATCTTGCCTTATATTCGTATATTTGTACCAGATAAATTCAGAATAGATGTAGTTTCATAAATAGTTTATCAAATCTACCTTTTGGCCGGCGGCTTACAATTTCCCTTGCGAGAATGCTTTACCGTAATGAGCCATCTCGTAGCCGCGGATTCCGGGAATCGGGTGACGTCACAGTGTACGAGCGAGAGCGGTAGAGCGAGCCGCGGTATCGGTTCCTCACTTTCTCGTGAGCCGTCGCGGAGGGTGGGCCGGGTGGGCGCGCGTCTCATACTCGTCCTTTCTCTTGTTACTAACCCATTGTTTGTTACAGGCATTCGACAACCATCAATTTATTTACTGTGCATATTGTTGTGTTCCCTCTCTTGTTACTAATCCCTTGTATGTTACAGATGTTCGAGAACCATTGGCTTTGATATTTATTTTCTTATGTCCTGTGATTCATTTACTGTGATTTATTTACTGTGCATATTATGTATTCCATGTGTATTGTATAATGAAAAATATTTTTCCAACCAGTTATTCCATCGAAAGAAGACCGATCAACGTCTACATCTTCAAAGCGTGCGTCTACCACTGCGTTAAGTTACTGTAAGTTAAACTTAAATCATAATTCGATATTCATTGTTATATTCATATTCATCATCACATCGTTTATTATTAATTTTAGTCTATCTATTAATAGACTTAAATTGTGATCAGCCATTGTGCATACCAAGTTATTATTAATTCA